TGGGGCCAGTCCCTGTGGACAGACAAATGGGTTTGGTAGCTGCATTTATCAAGGGAACCGGGGGATATGTTCTCATAAAATGTATTCTTGGTGCCAAATCTTAGATTCAGTTGTTGCACTGCAGAATCTGTCCTGATCATGGAGTAGTGGTTTCCCTCTTTATCTTCACAGATTCACTTAAGGGTTCATGGGTGTTTCGTAGACTTGGAGAAGCTTATGACTGTGTCTCTGGAGATCTTCTGTCGGCGCTGAGCCTGTTGCAAACATGACATTCTTTCTGGACCATTCTTAGTGCGTGGCAGACTTCACAAAAGTTGTCCTTTGTCACCTCTTCAGTGTGTGGTTTTAATGGAGAGAATTCTGAGGTGCAAAAGGAATGTAGAGTCTACTTTGATGACCTCAGGCTTCCATCTCTGCTTTTTGCTGATGATGCGGTTCTGCTGGCTTTGTCAGCCTATGACCTCTGCTGTGCATCGACTTGGGTTGGCAGCCAAGTGTGAAATGGTTCGGGATGAGGGTATGCATCTCCAAGTCTGGGGCCAGTATTCTCTGTCAGAAAAAGATGAATTGTTCTCTACAGGGTTAGAAAGGAGCCACTGCCCCTGATGTTGGATTTTAAGTATCTCTGGGTTTTGCTCACAAAGGAGAAAAATGGAGATTGATGCAGCAACTATAATTGCCTTTTACCTTTGTCTTAGTCTGTTAAAGTCAAGAGCAGGACCTGAGCCCAATTCACAATTACAGCCTAATATGGTCATAAGCTTTGGGTAGTGACAGAGAGGATAAGATCACAGCTACAAACAGCCAAATACCACTTCTTAGACTAGATTGCTGGACTTGCCAAGGCTCAGATCATTCTTGCTGAAAGGAGCCAGTTGAGGAGATTCAGGCACCTGATCAGGATCCCAGGTCACATCCCATCCAGCTGGAGAAGAAATGTTGGGGCAGACCCAAAACAAATGCCTGTTGAGTCTCCCACTGCTACCTTGACCTGGAAAAAGAGCTAAAGATGAATGAATGTGTTTATATTCCAAATGGTAGTTTAGAGCAAAGGGGGACCTGCATCAACTTCAGGAAGGTTTAAACTGTCATTATCTGCTATTAGTCTTTATATTAAATATTGGTTATTGAACTTTATATAATTTTTAGCTGATTATATTTTATCGTGCACTGGATTTCTATAGGAATTACTTTTAGAGATGTTTGAGCGACATGTGTTTCATGTATGACATGACTTATTTATTACATCTGCTGCCATTGCACTTTGTCACATTTTGTTTGTATTGATACCAGTGCTGAAAGTAATTCCACTACTTTTGGTCATTACTAGATAACAGTAAAGTTTAGGATTAGGGGTCACTAATTACAATTACTGAAATTGAAATGGGCTTGTTACTCGTTACTTTTGTCTTACCTGAAAATAGTGAACAACTGCAGAAGACCGCAGACAAACGCAGTATATCGCGTTGATTTTCCGTTTTATGATTAAATGTCACCCAACCTTATGGTGCCCAAGAGAGTTCAGGTAATTTGAGCATGCTTTATGTTCATCAAATATAATTATTTCTTAAGTAAATACTGTAGCAAAGCTCAGTTAATGTATATTATATTACCTATAACTAGATAAATTTGTCCTTCAGCAACACTAAAATAATACAGCTGACAGATTTGCGCATAACAAATCCAGTGTGTCATATTTATTTAACTTCGCAAGTTTCGTGGCAACCGCAGTTTCTCTTACACAATCTGCAACTACATCACTAGATGCCACTAAATCCTACACACTCCTTTAATAAAAAATTGAAGCAGACATTTAAAAGTAATGCAAAACTTACTTACCTTTTTTTATATGCGGTAACAAAATACTACTTTTCAGTAACTTGACCAACACTGATTTATATACAAATTTTTCCACCAAATCGTGTATGACATTTTAACTTCTTATCAAATTCTTGGTGTTTTCACTCCAATGATGTAATGCGCAAATTGAAAATGTACATAAAAACATTGGATGGACACACACTCACTGCTGAGTTTCAGTACAGAGTTCATGTCACAGTTCGCAATAAAGTACCACTGGGGGAAATACTGCTTAAGAGGATTTTCCACACTTACAAGAATAAAATTCTCAGTAAAACTTTATTTTTAGCCACAAACATCATGATTTAAAATGATGAGTATAGCTTTGGAAGCCTAATTTGTAAAATACAAGGGTGGATCGGATCTCAGTCTTTGAAAAACCCATATTGATTATATCCCAGCTCAACTATGAACTATTCCCCCTAATATTAGATATGAAACATGTATAAAAAAGGTTTCAGGGAGACGCTGTCTACTCCCTGGGGGCTTGCAGCACCCATAGGCCCTGAAGTGCTGGCACTAAGGACACATTCTCTAGCAGATTAAGTCACTGGTGATAAGAGCATCCCTCCTCTATCCTCCTCTGTCTCTCCCTCTGTGAGTCTCTCTGTCCCGCCTCTCAGCCTGCCTTGGAATCTGGAAAATTCTGGTTTAAAAATACTGCAACACTTCCTTTGTTATACTAAGCCCTTTTTTGCCCCCCCCCCATCTTATTTATTTCCTTGTTCTCCCCAAATAACAGCAGTGGCGGGATGAGCGAGCGGGAGACATAGAAAAAGAAGGGAAAAGAGTGTATGGGAAGAGAGAGGGAGGGAGGAAATACAGTATATAGAGAGAGGGAGCGAGTCGGCACTGTCAGAGTCAGAGCGAGCAAAGAGAAGGAAAGGACGGCAGAGAAAGTTTATAAGGCGTAGTTTAGGAGGAAACGCGTGAGAGAAGCTGGGGAATCTGTGGTGGCCAGCTGCAAGAGGGGAGATAGCGGAGAAAGGCTTTTAATTCTCAATCCCCACAGAGCCTTTGAAAATTACCAATCTTCTTATCACAGACGCAGGGCTGCTTATGCAAATTGTTGTGGAGTGGAACGTTTAAACGGAAAATTACTCGACAGCATTTTTTTTTCTCCCTCTTCCCTTCTCCCCCTCTCCCTCTCTCTTCCACACAGAAAGCCTGTTTTGAGTCTCAGATAAGAAGATGAATTGCTCTCCCCCTGCTTTGAAGCGCGTCAGGATTTAAAGACTCCAGCCTCGGCTCTGGTCTAACGCCGCTGCTCTTGCTGCCTTTGTAGCAGAAAACAGGCTGGGGAAAAAAAAACACGCAAGAAAAAGCATTTCAAAACAACATAGATTCTGCGCTTCAACACATCGTTACTGCCTGAGGAGAATAGGAAATATAAATACTCTCTAACCCTTACTCTTTAGTCTATTTATTTTAATATTTTTGCTTAACACAGTCAACACTTTTTTCAGACATGGCAAGTAATTGACATGGATGAATGAAGCTCATGTGCTGTATGAAGGAAATGTTTGAAATCCAAATTATACCGCAGGCAATATTAGAAATGAAACAGGAAATAGGGTTGAAACCATTCAAGAGCTATACACAGTTAAAATGAAAATAACTGACTGAATGCAAGGCTATGAAATTGTGTGCTTTTACATGCTTCTGTGATTGAGCATTTTTTTATGTGTGCTTCATTCTTCCACACAGACTGAGTATCTTTTGACTGCCATCTTGCTCACACGTTTGATTAACAAAAAAAAAAAAGTTGTAAAACAACTTAAAGCTGCAGTAGGTACCTTTTAGGAATATGACTTTTTGTCATATTTGCTGACATTTTCACAATATCCTGACAGTAGTACATGAGACAGATAATCTGTGAAAAATTCAGTGCTCCTCCTAGTGCTCCTAATAGAATTTGCAAGAATCCATCGTGCCTGAACATAAACAACCAATCAGAGCCAAGAAAGATATAAAGATGGTTTGGGTTGGAGGCTTGAAGGTATTTGATTGTTGATTCCCATTCCCAGCATTACAAAGTGTCTTTATGAATGAGACTCAACCTACAACTATTGTAATGGATTAGAGTCAGCGTTTTTTGTATCCTGATTACATAACTCAGTTACATGTAATCTCAAGCCTTTCAAAGCATAAAAGTAAATACATTCCAACTGCAACTGCAACTGCTCATGGATTATGTAATTAACAGTTATCAGTCTCGATTACTAAGTCTTCATTTAAGACTAAAACCTCTTTTTTGCACATGTTCTATCATTTGTGGTGTCACTTAACTAAAGATCCTCTTAAAAAGATGGTATTGAGCGTTTCTTTTTCCACTCAATTGGATCAAAGCTTTGTGAGAAGTTGAGAAACCTGCAGAAGTCACCATTTTATCTGACGTTGTTGTTTTTCTCAAGTTTAACTTTAAAAGTAATGCAATGACACAAGCAGCCCTGCATGGGCTGAATAAATAAGATATTTATAAATATGAATATATAAAATTATAATATATATAATATAAATATTTTATTTGGGTAATTCACATTGCATTTCTTCCTCTTCCTCTCGTTCATGTAAGTGTGCTTCACATAGTGAAGAATAATGTGCAGCAGAGCCATCACAGTGATGACTGCACAGGACTTTGATGGGAGGAAGTGAAGGCCACCACTGGACTTTTTGGTCATCCCTTTCAGTCATTCCTACATTTTATCTGTATTTGAACCTGGAACTCTCTTGTTCCTTTGAAAATGCATCTGGTTGAAATGCAACTTTCCTTGTTTCCTTTTGTGTTCACTTTGTGAGTACATCTAAACATGTGCCGTGGTGTTGCATTTGGATTGGTTAAAAAATAGGGAAGTTGGAGTGTTGTGTCTGTGTGGCTATTAAACTGAGACTTGTCATTTAATTTAGTTAATGCAATGTAAAAATGGGCCTTCAGAGCTGAATATTTTAGTTCTTATGAACTGACAAATCACTGGTTGAATTACTGCTGTCTTAAATTAACCAGTAAAGGAAAAACAGACACATTTGAGTATTTGAGACAAAGATTTAAAGCACCATCATCATTTTATCTTTAAATACTTACAGTGCAGTGTACGATAGGGTTGAACTCCACCAACCTACTGAATTCTTTCTCCCTACAGAGGCAGCTGAGGAAGAGGAAGTGCTACCTCCTGGTGGCCGGAGCAATTTTCCTCACCATCCTCATCATCATCATTGCTGTTTCGGCAAGAAAATGAGACTGGCCACCGTGGTAAGATTCATCATCTACAATGCAACACTGCAGTCAACACTGCAACCCCTGTCCCAGACACTGACACTGTCAGTTCCATATTATTTATTATTTAAACAGTTTAGAGGATCTATTGGCAGAGATGATTATAAATATTCATTAGGTATGTTTTTCATTAGTGATAATCACGAAAAGTTCCACCATTTTGAACCATCATGTTTCTACAGTAGCCCAGAATGGACAAACCAAACATTGGCTCTAGATTGGGCTTTTTGCAAAAAAATATTTGATTTAAGGAGAAGTATATCAAGTATGTTAAATTAACTTGGGTAAATTAAGTTGTTTGCCAATTCTGTTCAATTAGTTGAAGTTACGCTCATATGCAGCATTTCTCCAAACCTTTTTAAAATGTTAAATTTATCTGAATAAAGTTACTTAACTCCATCTTATTTACACAAATGTTGAATTCGCCAAGCCAAATTATCTGTTTTATTATGTAACTAACATCAAATCTTTACACTTTGGGGGGTCATTAAGAATTATTTGGATGCATATGATAATAAATGAACTGAAATAAAATACAAATGTAAAAAATCCTTAGCTATACAGCATTTTAATGCTTACACTTTTATAAAGATATAAAGTCTACTTTAAGTAGACTTAAATGAGTCAATGGAACAAACTGGAATTATATCGCCAGTGCACATAAAAGTGCACTCAAAACAAGTGAGTTGCTTCAACCAATCGTTTTTGAGTTAGGTCTAATTCATGTGAGTGAATGACTCCAATATTTTTGGAGGATTAATTTGTGTTAACTTACTTTTTTTAGTAAGATGTGTTATCAGGTTTTACAGTAGCTTAGTAGGGCAGTGACATTTTTATAATATGCCCTTAATTTTAAAACTTTTTAAGAAAACAACAAATGCACACATTATCTGACAACTGAGTTCCAAATGTTCTCTTTTGATGGCAGGGACACACATTGTGATTGTTGAACTGTATGATTTAGGCGTGACGACTGGTCAAGATGGACTGAGTCTGTTCTGGTCTCTGTCAGTTGTCATGTACAGTCAGGAGATAACAAGCATGCATTGCGTTTTTGTTCCAATTACTCAATTCATTGTTTAGTCTATAAAATGGGAAGTTGCCAAAGGTCTTGTTTTGTTTTCTAAAACCCCCAAATAATCACTTTACTTTAAAACAGAGAAAAGCAGAAAATCATCAGAATCAGGCTTATTGCCAAGTAGGTTTACACATACAAGGAATTTGCCTTAGTGCATCACAATTATTAGAGAAATATAAATAAGGCAAAAATAGAAGCAATAGACAAAAATGATTAAAATGATTACAGAAATCATTACGTTTGCTGGAATGACAGAATATTAACCATTTTTGCTTTATAATTAACTTAAACAATTACTTAGTGTTTCCAAATAATAGATAATTGATTGATTGATTTACTAATAATTTCCGCTGTATTGTGGTGTTGATCTAAATTCAATACACACCCAGCGTTTATTACAAATACGTTAAACTTGTTTAATATTTACAAATGGAATTGGGAAAATCAACATCCCATGTGAAATAATCATAACAATTTAAAAACAAAACTAGCTAAAAACAGCACTCAGAGATGAAGATGTGCTATGTATCCTGACTGAAATGAATGTGCATTTTTGTTTTGGTGCCCTTAACATGTTTGTGTTCTCACAGGATTTCATTGCTTGCCTGGCAATGCAACTCTAATTGTTACCCAGCATGCTGTCTCTGTATTTAGTCAGTTGTTCAGTGTGCTGCCAACACAAAAAAATCTGTCTATGTTGATGGAAAAAGTCATTGTGTGTGGGTTGTCCCATCTTAGCAGGTTTCAGTAAACTTAAATTCTGTTCCCAACTTAACATCTTGACTGTGCAATGCTGCAGTTTCTCAGAATAAAAAACACATTTTAGCTTACATGCTGCCACATCACCAAATACTGGCCAAATGTAGTGCAGGACAGGAGAAGCCAATCAAAAAACCAGGTCATCAGGCCATAGCACAGCAACTTCAATACACTAGAATTATTTACATAGGTACTTTAAAATTAGGGCCGGGTTTGGTTGCTTTTTCAGATTTTAATTCTGTTTCCCATTGATACCCAAAATACCAGGATTCGCTAATCTCTCTCTGTTTTATCAAACCGTTTATCTTTTCTAAACATTAAGTCTCTGAAAGAGAAATATTATGAAAGCATGTGTCAGTCAACTCCAGCTCAGTTTTCTGCAAATGGCTTTGTGAAATGCTGTAAAACTGTGTGCCAAACACTGGCGAGTTTATCCCTCTGCTCACATACTCGCTGCCACATTTTCCATTGCAAATGTTATAAAACATCATTCACATTTTTTTCAGATAGAATCTTAGAATAAATTAATTTTTGTCGATCTTGTGTTGACCACCTCCTGTCTGACAAGATGTCTCTGCTTGCATAAAGTATTGATCATCACCTATTTTCCTCCTTGGGGGAGGAAAATGGAAATCCTGTGGAACAAAGCATTCTATTCATGAAACAGCAGGCTGAATCGATGCTCCCATGGTGACTGGCCCATGTTGAGGCTTAGGAGTTGGTGGTCGACACTCAAGTGGCTAGACACTATCAGTTACCACACAGTCTCAGTGCTAAAAAAGGCAACAGGCCATTGTGAAGTCCGCCACTAACTGTTGTGCTGTTTAAATGTATTCAAAGACTAGATTTATTGATGTCCACCTTTGCTATAACAAAGCAGTGACACAGTACAGACAATTTATTGGCTGCATCAGGTGGGGACATATTCTTTTTGCCCAAATAACGGAGAATTTGAGTTTCTTTTGTGTCTGTCATCATATCAACCAACCCCATATACTGTTCCTCATTCCCAAGGTCCCAAAGCGTGTGTATTTGACGACCCGTATATTCAATTCAGAATAAGAACAGTGCAATTTATAAACTGTACAATGAAAACAAATAGTGAACATAATATGAACACAACTGCAGGGAGTTTGCGTACAACGAGGGATTTGGAGAAAGTTGTAGCAATTTATTTCCATTGTATATTGCATCAGAGATGAGTGATATTTTTAGGAACTTTTTATATAATTCCCGGGCTGTATTATGAATTTCTTTTTAATAATCATATGAAGGCTTCTTTCTTGGCAAATTCAGTGTTTTTTCTCTCCCTGATGCTTGGCCATTATTCTATTGGCTCTTTGGTTGATTTCACCTAATGCAGGACAAGGCTGTGACCACAGTGCTCCCAGAGTGTTGCTACATGACAGCCTGTCAATCCACCATCTCTCCACGTTTGCATGTCTATAAGTGTGTGTGTGTGTGTGTTGTTGTAGGTGTATGTCGTGGAAAAGAATTTCCCCATTTGGTGTTGATAATTAAAAGTATATATCTTTTCTAGATCGTAAATAATAACCCAAACATTAAAAATAAGATTAATTTGTTTTCTTCACAGAAATAAATGTTCCAGTTTTCTTTCAACCCGTAAAAAAGCGCTAGACTTTTTACATTTTATTGTTACAAGTGTGAAAAAACCATCAGATATAAAGGTTGAACATGTTGGTATCTTTGCTGCAGATGCAGAAATATCCAGCAGAAGTCTCTTCTACTAATTTCTCCAGATCTCCTGATTAGTAGGCTCTTCATGTTTATGGAAATGGACCAAAGTCTTGTTTTAGCAAGATTGAGGCAGGAATTACTAACCACTCTGTTTGCATTTGTGTGGTGTGTGTGTGTAAGAAAATAACTATCCTCATCCCCACTGGATGGAAATCATATTATAGGCCCCTATTTGAGTTTAGAGGAAGAGAGTGGGTTTATCGCCTCAGCATAGCAATAAGCCTGGCAAAGTCAACAAGTTCTTGTACTAAAGATCCAAATGAACACACTTGGCTTCCGCTCTGTCAAGTATTTCGGTGTCTGATGCAACTCAATTTTACTGCGATTACTGCCCGACCATTTTATCATTATTCAAGTGATTTTCACAGCAGGAAGTGTAAACAAACATGCCTTCTTCTATTAAACTGATATTGGCACGGATAAATATTTTAATGTATGAAGTATTTTATAGCCATTCCCTCAAAATCTTTTGTGAAACAGTTGCGAGCATCACGGTAAAAAACAGCCTCTGTCAATTTTTTTTAAAGGAGGGCATCGCCATCCGCAGTGGCAAAACAAAATGGACAGATGGACAAAAAAAAAGTCTAATAAGCCATGCAGTAAACAGAGACAGATGACTTTTTGCGATCAATTGGAAGCTATTTACCATATGGAGGTAACCATGAGGACACTTATTCTCTTTATCTCTGAGAGTTTGATGAGAAAATTGACTCTCATGTGGTCATATGGTGCTGGGGTTAACGTAAAACTATTATCTTTTAATTTAATTTTTTTTATATTTTTATTTATATAGCTTGTTAGCTAACATTGTATGTATATATAGTTGTCGGTTTTATCTTCTAACTATCTTAATGTGTCAAAATGTGTAGCCTAGCACATTCTGTACAGGAAAGGAGGAAGTTGA